TAACTCTGTAATAGTAAGGTGTTTAGAGTCGAATGATGTCTCTAATTGCACATAACACTTGAGGCTATCATACCTTATGCCCAACTCAAAATCGAATTTTTGATCAAAAAAGAGGGGGGGGTACCCTTAAGCGACGAAAATTGATATTATTGAGAACAAAAAAAAAAGAAAATTAAATCGAATAAAAACCTATGCTACCTGACTGATGACCTATCCTGTAAATTAAATATCCATAAGCAATAAGTGATTAAATAGAATATTAAGAAGTAAAGGATTGCATTGAGTTTGTAAACTTTTGGAAGAAAAATCTACTACTACTGTAGACGCTTTGGACAATGAATATGGAGCTCAGCTGCCCTTAGACCGAAATCCTGGTTTCGCCACTACTAACGGGTGCCCTATAATTAATGGCCGCTTTTTGCATTTCATAGTTTAATCAATTAATAGATTGTATTAAAGAATAACATATACCACAAGATGTGGTGTGAAAAGCTCTACAAGTTACAAAAGATCGCTTTTTTTATGGTTGCAGTTTTTGCTTTCAAAATCGACAAGGTTTAAAGCTATCAAATTTCGACCGTGCAAAAATTGATAGCCGAGAATTTTGCTTTTTTTGAAAGCAATTGCAATGAGCTTTACGGTGTAGATTGTAGAACTTTTCATACTGCATCGTACGGTATATTTTGTTTTTTAATACAAAGTATTAATTGATTCAATTATGAGATGCAAAAAACGGCCATTTATCATAGGGCACCCGCTATTAACATCTTGAACTTATCACTAGTGCATAAAAAGAGGAAATAAACAAGCCAACCTATGTGTAAAAATAATTAGAAATCTCTGTATCCTATAAATATATTTTTTTCTGAAAAAAATCGATATTACTATCCTGAGGGTGTAAGTGGGTCTGGATGGGTGTGTATGTGCGACAAAACAATATCAACACCCACATCCACTCTCGAAGGACAAAACAAATAATATTTTTATTGATAGGCCAAAAGTAGATCGAAGGTATTTTAAGGTATACACATACATATGAACTAGCAAGGAAAAAAAATACATGATTTAGTCTTGATCTTGAGGGTTTTTCTATATATGTTAGCGCATCATGCATAAGCCTTTTCCATACAAAATGCTTCACTTCATGTCTTCATTTTCTTCTTCATGTTCTCATATATGCATCATTAGGTTTTTGTCTCTTTTATCCATTACTATATAAATATTCATGTTTTCTCTTATTGTATTTTCATTTCTCTTGTCTCTTATCTATTTTTCTCTACTTTTACTTAATTAGTGTTTTCTCAATAATTATCGAATCCATGTTCTGTCAAACTTACAATTTAAAAACAAAAAGGAAGTCTTTTCTTCCTCTTTTCACAATGCTTCACAGAAAAAATAAGCAAAGAATGCACGCGTGATTCGCGCTGAAGAATAAGTACAGTTCCTATCTAATTAAAATAAATGAATTATTTTGAAAAAGTAAAATTTTAATGGTGAATCTCGAAATGAAATGTACGATTGCTCCATTCCCTTCGACTAATGACACCGTTGATTGAGGTCGACTGTCATATAGACTCTAGAAATAAATGTACTATACCAATCAATCACACAAATTCAGTCTTTCGCTTGAAACAAATCAATGTACTTCAAATAGCAAACTGTCGAAGAATAGGAACTGAAATAATGAATTCAGTTCATTCTAAAACTTACCTAATTAACGCATTTAATCCTTTCGAAAAGATTCACGTATATAAATGTGATGGGTGTGTATTACACTTATAATGCACTCATGGATGTCTTTAATAATATTTTTCGGGTCTGTTTCCGAACGACGATCATGGACCAACATCGCTCTCACCTTTGCTATATTTTTTCTTCATCCGATGAGAAAAATATCGTAACAGACATTCATAACGAATTTTTGAGTTCATGAAAAACAATAGCGTAAATATAGATGGAGAATCACAAAAGGACTAGATAGAACTAAGCTTTTCGAAAAATTGTAATTACGTCTGTTTCCTTAATTTTTTCGCTTCTTCAAAAAAGTCTACGTCAAATATTTTACATATCATGTATCCTGACCAGATAAGCTAAAAATCAAAATTTATTCACCAGTATGCGTATTACTTTTACTAAAGTAAATAGTAAATAATTTATTTACTTTACTTATTTACTTTTTGAAAAAGTAAAGTAAATGTGCCACCCCTACTGGTGAGCCTCTGCGGTTGCGCCGCGACTTGTGACTAACACTTTCGTTACAGACACTTAGCAAAGGAGTCTCTCATGACAAACATTAAGATGTCTCCTCCAGCACTTACAATGAGACCATGCTTATCAGTGGAGGGTCGAAAAATTGATTATGTGATTTCTAATTGACTCCAAGTAACATTTTCATTTAGTTTAATATGTTGATATCTTTTGATAATTGTGTGTAGCCAATGAATTTGTAATTTTTCAAGCCAATCATTTGAGGCGATACGCAATATTTGTAATGCTTGAAAATCTGTTTTCATCAATAATAAAATTTCATTAATATCTTTCAACGTAAAATTCGAATGATTTCCTATAAAAAATATTAAAATTTCATCACGATCTACAGAATATGGTTGAAAATGAAAATAATCTTCTAAAGTATTCAAATTTGAATAAAATTCAAATTGATTTATTTGATCATATTTATCATGTTCATAAATTCGTGCTAATAAATCATTACATAATAATTCTCGACATATGAACTTAAGTGGTTTATCATTAATGCCATTTTCTACATATTCTATAATTAAGTAGATATAAACAATATGTAATTTAACTTGAATTGGTAAATTATAGCATTTGCCTAAAATATTTTCAATTGTTGAATAACATGGGTGTTGTTCTAAAACATTTTGTAAATAAATTAAAAACTTTGCTGATGGTTGATAATTCGGTAGACATTTAAGAATATTTAATATCGATTGTTGAAGTATATGATCGTTATCATTGAATGCATTTTCGAGATATTGAATAACATTTTCATCAATTGTTTCGGTATTTTCAGCAAGGTGTTTTAAAATTTTTATGACATCTAAACGTTGAATACATGAGGTATTATCATAATTTTCAAGAGTTTTTGCAAGACGTTCAGTTGTTGTTTTTGTTAATGTACAACCATTTTGTACACCTTTCAGAAAAATTGAATATGATTTAGTAACATTTTCAATTAAATAATGTTCGAAATCGTCTAATATTTCTTGTGTTATTAATTCTTGATTGTTATTTGAAATGAGTTTTAGAATTTCAAATAAACGTCTTTTGTCGTTTGTTAAATGACTCAAAAGATAGATTAATGTTGATGGCAATTTTTGACCATTTTGAACGGCTAATTCGATTATGTGAAACACTGTGTCGCTAATTTGATTAGTGTCTAAGAGATTTTTTACAGCATATTCAAGTGATTCAATTGTATTGGTTGATAATTTGAAACCATCTTGTACAAAGTTTCGACATTCATTAACAGCTGTTTGTTTTCTTTCAGTATTCAATGTCGGATCTCGTATATTTTTGGATGAAATTTCGAATCTAGTACGTTTCTCGAGATCAGATGATATTGTTTGGTATTTAATTATTACTTCTAAACAATTGATAACATTATCTCGTGATGTAGAATTTTTATTTTCAGATGCGAAATCAATTAAAATGTTCAATGTTTCGATTGGAAATGATTGTCTGAAATGAACTAATGTTTGTAGAACCTTGATTATATTTGTGCTGAATGTTTTATCGTGTATTAAACTTAGAATCAATTGAATTTCTGATGAATTTAAATGAGCTGAAACATATTCAAAAATTTTTATAATAATTAATTTCAATTCAATAGAAGAATCATTTGAATATAACGATAATTCGAGAACTTTCATATTGTATTTTGATAAAGATTGTTGTCCATCTTGAACAATTAATAATAATTCTTTTGCTAATTTTAAACGATTTTTCGAATTTCGACTTTCTAAAATTTTTTGACCAAGCATTTCTCGATTAATGATTTGTTTTATTTCATCTATGTTAATTCTATTTTCAAATGTTTGATACATAGTGACATATTTTCCCAGTGTTTTGAGCGATATATCTCTTAGATCTATTGTTGAAGAATATGTTGTTGTTGTTAGTGTATCATCACATTCATCATCTTGTGCATAATGTTTTAGAAGATTTAATGTTATATCTGATAAACGTGTTCGATGTTCGATAAGAGCATTTAATACTACACAGCTGTAATATTTAATTTCTCTCGATGTGTCATTTTTTTGAAAGTATTTTTCTATTAATGTCATAATGCGATTACTCAGTAATTCATCATCGACTGGTATATTTTGTATAGAATAAGCCAATATTTCAAGAAGATTTATTTGTATATGATAATCTTGTTGACGTTGTACTAAATTTACAAATTTTTTGTAGAGTTTCATATCAATTCGAATTTCATTACGACTGGTCAATAATTTGAATATTTGTATTGTATATATTGAATAAAATTGACTTTTAAGAAAAAATTCACTAAACAATTGCATCATTTCATCGTTCAATGATTGTCCATTATAAACAGCATAGTACAGAGTTTCAATTAAAATTTCATTATTTTCGATATTTTTATTGATACATAATTGATTTATTAATGTTTCGGTCAATTGAGTTGGTATTTTTTGACCATCTTTTACACAATGGAGTAAAAATACAAATATTGTCGAACTATATACTTCTGTCTCTAATATTTTAACATATACATCGAACATATTCAGTGGTAACATTTTATTATCGAAAGTTGTATCATTAAAATAGGCATGCAATTTGTTTTCTAATTCAATAGAAATAAATTTGTTTAAATTTTTTTGTTTTAAAATATGTTTTATTATTTTTTCTAATTCTATTAAATCATATACATGTTTTGGAATATTGGTTTGTTTTAAACAAATTCGATTTAATAAATCCAAACTATATTGACGTACTGATTGATTTTGATGAGTTTGTAATACAATATAAATATTATTGATTTCAGAATTTGTAAAATATATTTTGAATTTTTTTTCACTGAGTAAGTTCAATAAAATTCCTGCATTTATTGCTAGCATTTCATTTGAATTTAATAATATATCGATTAATAGAGTTGAAATATTTTCAGCATAAGTCTTTACAATTGTAGATAAATTTTCATTCTCTGAATAATCGTTTTGAAAGAAGTTTTTCAATGCAAGAAAAGCGGTATTACATACATTTTTATCAGAATCATTTAGTACATTTATTAATCCATCGATTTCATTTTGCGTTATAGATTGATTATTTTCAATTGATAATGCTAGTATTAAACAAATATTTTGACGTATTTCACTATTTAAACTATCTTTAGAAAGTATTGTTACAAATTTTCGAAGTGGAAATATTGATAAATAATCTTGTTTATATTGAGCAATGTTTTTAAGTGCATAGATTGAACTTTGTAATAATTTTTCATGATCTAATTGTTCAATGAGAATATCGATTGTATCTTCAAGAATTGATATATTGAAATCATCGTCGATATTTTGATATGATAGTTTACATAAATTACCTAAAAGAATTGCCACATGTGATCGTATATTTTCTTCTAAATTCGTGTCTTTTAAATAATCTTTTAATAGTTTTATATCCAATCGTGTCGATACCAATTGATCTTCGTTTAAGGCACATAAAATTCTAAGACAATATTCAAGCATTTCTTTGTGTTGTGAAGACATCGAATTGAAACATATTGAAATATTATTCAATACTTTCGGTGTTAAGTTTCCAGTAAACAATTGGTTTTCAATAGCTTTTTGAAGCACATAAGATGCTGAACGATTTAAAGACAAGTCTTTATGGCTAACAACTTCAACAATTAGAAATTCACTGAAAATTTCAAGTAAATTTTCATTTAGTTTATATTGTCGATATAATAAATTTAAGAAAAAAGAAGTCATCAGTCCACATTTTCCATAATTCTTATTGATGTCTTGATATGTGTTTGACAGAAGTGCTTCCATATTTTCAATATATTGTTGGTGTATATCATAACGTTGATTTCGAACTAATTCTTCAAATGAATATAACATATATGATTGAACAGTTGTTAATGGATCATTTAATGCATGAGACATTGCGTTCAATAATGAAGGATTCAAACGTAAAGTACCGTGGTTTTTAATAAGGGTATATAAAATTTTTGATCCATACCTTCTTAATGTTGGATTTTGCTGACTTTGCAATGCAATTGAAAGTGATTTTAAACACAGATTTGATGGGTTTTGACCATTTTCTATTAGAATATAAATTATTCGAATTGAGTTCTCTTGTGTGATTTTTTCGTGATTATTAATAATGATATTGCAAAGTCTTTCAAATACTAAATCTGATATAACTAACTTGTTTTCGGCTAGAGCCAAAAAAATACGACAAGCATTGTTGCTTGATTTACCATATAATAAATCATCGGTAAATTTCTGTATACGATCGTCAGGTAAAGTTTTGCCATTCTTGATTTTGTCGATAACTTCCTCAATCGTATCGACCATCGTTGTCGATTTTCTTTCTAAAAAAAATCAGTAAAATTCACACATTGAGAAGGATGGATAATTAAGTCGCGCACATAATCCCTAACATTTATTCCGCACATAACTAATGGGTAGTGCAAGATTTTGTATTAATCTTCTTCTGGATGTGGCGATGTACTGCAACATCTTAGAGACGTTATTCATGTTATTGTTAGAAAGAGCAGTGTATTTAGTTCAAAAATATGTAAAGGTGTTCGCTCGAAAATGTTGCCACAAGGCTACAAAATTTCAAAAGTGAATAGCATTGACAATTTGTTATACAATTTCAGCCATAAATTATATATTTGATCGTTTTCATGACCTAATGTCGTATATATATAAATGTTTACTTTAACGAAGGGCTTTTTATGGTATTAAAATAGTTGGTATATCATACACGAAATTTCACAACAGAGAGCTTGATAGAAAACTCAATTTGACGTTGGCAAAGGCAAAAAAATTGCCCGATTATTTCATAGAGGTAACGCATCCTATTCAGATCATATTTTTTGGTGGAGAATTCAATAAGCTTTTTCCTTGTAAAATACAAAGTTTCTAGTAAAATCTCTTTTGGAACAAAATTTAGTTCATCGACTGGAACTAATGGTAATGAGAAACCGACGATACCAGAAAATATTGCCAAAGACGTTATTTCGATCGTTATAAACAGCAACAAAAATAATTTTTCTTATCGGATGAAAGTATTTTCTAATGAGGGAAGATTCCCAAATAATCCACTACGTTTTCATTCATATATTGTCCATATGTAGAGACTACTATTCTAAGAAAAAGCCTAAGGGTATTTGGGCTAATGCGACTTTTTTCAATAGTGATGATCATTTTATTGTTTTATTCACCTATTATAAGGCACTTACAGAAAACTCGAACAATGAAATGCTCAAGTTTTCTGCAAGTGCTTTGTAATAGGTGAAAAAAACAGTAAAAATGATTATAACTATTGAAAGAAGTCGCGCATCAGTCTAAATTCTCTCAGGATTTTTCTAACAATCGAAGGGCCTAAACTGTCAATGAATTCAGTGAACATATTGAGGTCAAAAGAAAGCTTTCAAACGAAAAGCTAATGAATTTAAAATATTAGCTGCTGATGACCAGCCTGGACCAAGATATTCAATTTTCTAGGTATTGACAGTGTATATAATAGATCCACAAAGTAATATTTTCTCAGAATTTTATTTTCTTTTTCCATCATAGTTGGATAGAACTCGTCGAGTTGCATAAGAAAATATATGTTTCAAAGTTAAAAAAGGGTATTTAACGAAAGTCAGAATTAGGATCTATTTTCCTTATATTTAAAAATAATGTTATAATAGACTCAAAATTCTGAGTTTCGTTAAATATCCTTTTTT